TGTGTGTGTGTGTGTGTGTGTGTGTGTGTGTGTGTGTGTGTGTATGTTGTTTATATGCCTGCATTGTGATATACGTTTATCCTTAACAACATCGTTCAACATACTTGAATTTCTTGCTTAATAGTCTTCAATAGCTTTGTGTGTCTATCGATTTGTTCATTGTGTTTTTATGTATCATCTCACCAGCATTGTATATATACAAATGCATTGTATTCGTTGTATGTATACACATGCATTGTAAATAGGTGAGACACACACCGTTAGCATAAGCCGTGCCTTTATACCCTTCGCCCAATAACTGTCGCTCAAAGTCATACGTACATATTATATGTATTCATCTGGTCAACTGGAATTATCACATAGAATTGCAATCTACCTGTAGTCAAAGAAATAAGTGGAGATAATTGAAAGTAGGAGATGGAATGAAATCTATCTGTGGTTGAGTATATTGATCTATACACATCTCTTCGAAGAGTTCTAGCAATACATTTAGATGCCGCGCTGACATGCATCCTTATACGTGGATTCTATCTTATATTACACATGAGTTGATTTAGATGCCTGGCTGACAAGCATCCTTATATGTGAATTGTATCTATTACACATGAGTTCATTTAGATGCCTGGCTGACAAGCATCCTTATATGTGAATTGTATCTATTACACATGAGTTCATTTAGATGCCTGGCTGACAAGCCTCCTTATGTGAATTGTATCTATTACACATGAGTTGATTTAGATGCCTGGCTGACAAGCATTCTTATATGTGGATTGTATCTTATATTACACATGAGTTGATTTAGATGCCTGGCTGACATGTATGTTTAGTTGCGGATTCTATCTTATATTACACATGAGTTCATTTAGATGCCTGGCTGACATGTATGTTTGGTTGTAGATTCTATCATATATTACACATGAGTATCTTATATTACACATGAGTATCTTATATTACACATGAGTATCTTATATTACACATGAGTATCTCATATTACACAAGAGTATCTTATATTACACATGAGTATCTTATAATACACATGGGTTCCTTGACACCCCTCTCTGACGTTTATTCTGCCGTGTGTCTATACCAAAACAGCTCAGAGTGCGTGCAAGCGGCAGGTAAGGGGCACGCGGTGGATAGATGTATCCCACATCTACTGGAGAAGCATCATAAGGACATCGACACACTGAGAGGTCTGTGCAACCACCTGATTGGCGATGAGACATACGACGACGTTTGGCTGCTGAGATATCTGCTGTCCAATCAAAAGGTTAAGGACTGCGGTAGGTATATGGATATATAGAATGGGTTGTGTAGATAGATAGTATTGTGTGGCGTTTGCCTACTTAAAACTCATGAGATTCTGGTACACTACCCTCGCACAGTATCTTTCTGTGGCATTTGCCTACCTAAAACTCATGATATTCTAATACACTACCTTCGCACAGTATCTTTCTGTGGCATTTACCTACCTAAAATTCACGGGATTCTAATACACTACCCTCGCACAGTATCGCCCATTGAGCGCTCCATCAAGTGGCGAAATAGCAATGTAGATAGGATACTACTAGCGAAAGACCCCAGAGCCGAACATCCCATCTACCCAAAGATAAAAGAGTATGCAGCACACCCGTTGCATGCACTATAAGGCAGTATTTGGTACACCTCGTATTGTAGTGTGTGTTTCTGTAGATATTGGTATACAATTCACTGTTTGATTACGCTTGAGATTGATACCGTGACTTGATTAATATATATATATATGTATATATATATATATATATATATATATATATGTGTGTGTGTGTGTGTGGTGGGTGGTGGTGGTGTGGTGTGT